GTGGCTAATACTGGCTTATAAGTCACTTATAGGTAAAGCACCTCATTTGCATATAAAATCCTAATGCATAACATATTAGTCACTTATAAGATAAATGTATCAGTGAAGTGTAAGTCCAGAATAAACAACTTATAAGTAAAAGAATAAATCACTTATAAGTCATGCACTTATCAGAAATTTCTGTAAGGGAAACATATAAATACAGTGAAATATCAGTATCTCGAAGTTGAGGGGACCTGGACACGACTTCGAGATATCCGGGGGTTCGAGATATCCGAAGTTATCTTTCAAAGTCGAATCAACGATGTCCCATTTTTTCGTATATCTTCATGCGTAACAGTAACACTATCCTGTATTACAAAACATGCAGTCTTTATGGTAAAGTCTCAGGCATATTCGCAATAAATATTAACAAAAACAATGCTGTTGTTTTCTTTATCGTGTATAATTGTAAAACAATTTAATATGCATGCCTTATTGCATATTCAGCGAATTTACATTTTCCAGGCCATGCTTACGTGGTCAAACGGGATGTATCATTAGCGTTGTAGTTGAAGAACCTTCTCCGTAAGAAAAGAAAAAGACGAATTTTTTAAAAACATAATGTGATGAAATTTAGTGCAAAATGTTTTTAAAAAAAATAATCAGTATTCAAACTGTGTACTTGATATTAATAGCTTACATGTATAGCATTACGAAGTACTAGTCTACTATTAGGAACACATAGTTTACGAAACTAACAATGCAAATGGCGGTCAAGGTTATCTATTTATACGCAGATAAACATGAATGTAATCAATCACTGTGCATTATGCACTGCAACTTAACTGTTTAAGTCTATTGTGAAATATATTTTTGTTTTATGAATTTAGGAATTTAATTATACAGAGCATATTATTAAATGCAATATCGGTAATTTAATTTCTGAGTTGCTGTGAAGTGGTTTGTTTTATCGGTCGTAGACTACACCAAACACCCAAGCTGTCAAACCAATTAACCTGTCACAGATACCCGACATCAACATGAGCTTGGGATTAATTAAGATTCCCCAAGTTTGAAGGTGTTAATTAATAGCCACTGGCGAGAGTGTGTGAAGTCACGACGCCAGGTGTGTTCAGTAGACCGAAAAATTCACTGCACTTCGAGATAAGCCAGGTAAAAAAGGGCTTGGGACTTTGAATATACTTCGACATAAGCGGGGTATTCGAGATTACCGTGTTCGAGATATCAGGTGTTTTTTAAATCATATATAGAGAGAAAACGGCCGGGACCGGCGATCGACTTCGACATAAGCGGGGTATTCGAGATATCCCATGTTCGAGATACTGATATTTACCTGTATGACCAATCATGGCTTTGCTGTTCTTGAGTAGGAAATATTTAAAGACCCAATTTTTTACTGTACGGTTACCTGAGGAGGGGCAGTGATCGAAGTAACAGTGATGTTATTTACCTGGAGACCCCCAATATCCAAGATGTTAAAAATCTATATACACATAGCATTACATAGGAAGTCTGTGTTTGGTAATCAGGGTCAACATTACATGTTTTGTGTCTAGTTTTGAGTGAAACATTTTTTTCATGTGTTGACAAAATTTTATCGTTCCAAAGATTTCTTTTCAGAATCGATCACTATAATTAATTATCTTTACATTTTCATTCCAAATATAGAAAGACACTGAAGAAAATTGAGCATTAATTCTGACATAAATTTCTGTAAAACATTGTGCAAATAATTGTAGCCATTGTACAAATAAAACATCTTTTGTAAACTATGATGTTAATAAGTGGTGAATATCTTTTCTTATATCCCATTTCCTAAAAAATAATTTTAATCAGTGGACTTCCAATTACGATAAAATAGAGCCGGTGTCACATAATCTATTGAACCCCACGATATTTTGAACCCGGGTTCAAAATATCGCTGCGAAATATTGAACCCCCCCTATAAAATATTGAACCCGGGGTTCAAAATATTATGGCCATAAAATATTGAGTCCCCCTGCTCTTTTAATATAAGAGGGGGGAGGTCAAAATATTATGGCCATAAAATATTGAGTCCCCCATCCATTTCATTTTACAGGGAGGGGGGTTCAAAATATTATGGCCATAAAATACTGAGTTCCCCTGCCCTTTTAATTTATGAGGGAGGGGGTTCGAAATATTATGGCCATAAAATATTGAGTCCCCCTGCCCTTTTAATTTAAGAGGGAGGGGGGTTCAAAATATTATGACCATAAAATATTGAACCCCCTGTCCTTTTAATTTAAGAGGGAGGGGTTCAAAATATTATGGCCATAAAATATTGAGTCCCCTGCCCTTTTAATTTTACAGGGAGGGGGTTCAAAATATTATGGCCATAAAATATTGAGTCCCCTGCCCTTTTAATTTTACAGGGAGGGGGTTCAATATTTAATGGCCATAAAATATTGAGTCCTCTGCCCTTTTAATTTTACAGGGAGGGGGTTCAATATTTAATGGCCATAATATTTTGAACCCCCTCCATGTGAAATTAAAAGGGCAGGGGACTCGATATATTATGGCCATAATATTTTGAACCCCCTACCTCTTAAATAAAAAAGGTAGGGGTTCTATATTTTATAAGGGGGTTCAATATATCGCAGCGAAAAAGTGAACCTGGGTTCAAAATATTATGCGATATTTTGAACCTGGGTTCAATATATCGCGGTATTAAAACATTATGCTACACCGGTATCTGTGGACGGTACACTTTATTTATTATACAGGTTTTGTAGACGATAATGCTTACAAGTAACAAACAGCAGTGAAGATTGAAAAGAAATATTTTATGATGTCAATGTTTAATAATCTACTTTCAATTATTTTTTGAAATAAAATTCAAACATATTGAAGTTTTTTAACCCACATGTATACAAGGTGGGTACATGAAAGAATTTGGCGCACGACAAGGCAATTGTCTTTAACATGCAAACTCAGATTATCAGGTAGCACAGGTAGCTGATCTGTCAATCAAATCAGAAGCTATTGTTTTTTTAATGATTGACAAGTGGTAAATTATTGATCTTGAATCAGGTAGATTTTGGGGGCGTTAACGTAAAATTGGGTATTTAAAGATTTTTCCCTATATATTCATCTGTAAAACTTTGATCATCCCTTGTGGCCCCTCCTTCCCCCCAAGGTTCATGATTTGAACAAACTTGAATTTACACTACCTGAGATGATCCGTACAATGACCAATCATAACTTTGCTGTTATGGAGAAGGTTTTTTTCCTATATATTCCTATGTAAAACTTTGATTGTCCATTGTGGCCCTGCTCTACCCCCCCCCCCCTTGGGGTCAAGATTCAAATAAACTTTTTGAAAGGATTTTTAAAAGATGCCAATAATTTTTCACTTACTGTAAACCAAGCATTATCCGCGTCATCTTATATTAGAGATTCGTCAGTTTAAAATCAATCCGCAATGATTAAATTCATGAATAAGAAAACATTTTCTACAAAAACGAAGCCAAATAAATGGTTTGCGGCGATTAATATTAAAAACTAAAGAAGATCACAAAACTCGCAAATATTTTTCACATGTGAATAAAAGTTAATTTACAGTATTCTTAATTATATTAGGATTTGATCACGTGACCAACTAAACGTTCATTTCCCAGATAACTTTTTAACATTGTTGTTTATTTCTTAATTAATTGTGTCTGAAAATGGATAATTTACAAGGTACATGTAAGTTTGTAATCAGTGTTGTGGTGAAACCTGGAGGATGAATTTCACTGGATATCAGTTGAGTGTGTTAAACACTTGATGTGGTCAGAACTAAAAAATTGAAAGGTGTGATAAACATACAGGACCCCCAGTCCACCGCCAGTGACCCAATATATCTTATAAATAGGTGTGAACTCTGAACTGACCATGACAATGTTTCAAATCACAATAGAAATTCTTTCCGCGTAAACAGAATTTCAGGGCCACCTAGCGTAATACCATTTTGATTGACAGGTGATGCACAAGAATTCTGTGGTACAAGCATGTAAAGAGAACAAAAAAAGATTGCTCAATAGTTATAAATGGGTTGAATATACCATGGCATTAACCAAAGTTGTGGAAATTGAAAATCATTAGAATGATTGCGACTTTGGTAATGTAAATAAAAGGAAGAATTTTAATATAATATTTTTTACAGATGTACATTTATGTAACAAGGGATTGTACAAGTCTCTCTCTCTCTCTATGAAATTGTTTTTACACACTTTGCAAAAGAAGAATAACTTAATACTAACACTTTATGAAAAGAGTTTTTTTCTGCAAGTATGAGAAATACTGCCGGAAATTATTGTATTGTATTGATTTCTTGTTTCTGCTGTTGATTCTCTGATCTCAATTCAGAATAACTTAATTAAGATGAACAAAATAAATGTATTTTACTTAGGAATATACATATGCTTGTACTGTACACTAAAACTAAACCAATCTGATTAAAATCAGATCCTTTGATCTGTTCATATAAAGATCTGTCGCTACACAAGGATCTGAAGAAACCTCATTCAGGGTCATCTCCTGGTGACCACTCAGTTAGCCAATCAAACGTTCACTTCCAAGAATTTAGAAGTATCTCGGAATTTAGTTACAGACTGAAGTAAAATCCCCCATGACACACAAACGGATTTAGTTTCCGTAGCCTGCTAAGAAAACGAGAAAACTTCTACAGGCTTTTTTCTGTACATAAATATAAGAACTAATTGCTTTTGTCTTGTTTTTCAGCTCTTTGTTTGGTACGAAAGGATAATATTTTCTCTACAGCTACTTTCACTTCTACGCTCATTTTCCTGAAAGTCATTTAAATACGATATCTCTGATATGTCAAAATTTTAATGAATATTTTTGTGAGAAAGTTCACCAGATGAGCCTGAATGGCGTTTCTTCAGATCCTTGTGTAGTAGCGATCTGTGTGAGCGAATCAAAGGATCCGATTTTAATCAGATTGATCGCTACACTCACTGCTAATGTATGCTCAC